GGGGCGTTAGCAGAGGCTCCAGGAGGGTTTTAATCTAATCAAATGAATGGAGGAAAGGGGTGGCATGAGCTGACTTGCATCAGGTAATAAATAGCTGCCAGTCTCATGACACTGCCAGGCTTGCCCGATCACCTTGCCTGGCTCCCGGGAGCTTGTAACCGCTCTGAGTCTTGCAAAAAAACCAATGTTTTTCCAACCCAAAATGGAGGTGAGCAGCGGCACAGGGAACTTCACCTGCTACATCCATCCACGGGCAGCGCGTGGAGTCACCGTCCGCGCCCGGGCTGGTGCTGGGCTTGTGCAGGAGCTTCGTCTTCCCCGGGGAAGGGCTGGCAATCTGCTCTCTAATAAATCTCATGGAAAGCAGCTAAATAACAGGGCTCCCTGGAGCTACAGAAGGAAATTATTTAATTGTCTTTTTTAATAGAGAAAGGGGTTGCTCGCATGCCGCAACTAGATGTTATGAATAGGCTGATTTGTACTGGAGAAAGCTTTAAAATGCGAGCGTGTTGCCAGAGGCTCTGCAGAGACTCTGGAGCATCGTTTTGTTTTGACATGTCAACAGTGGTGCTAATTGAGTGCGAGCCAGGAAAATAGTACAGTAAAACCTCCCTGTAAATGAATGGGTCTCTCCGAGACTTAGCAGAGTCTTCAGTAGCAAGTCAGAGCAGTGCCAAGGGTGAGGATTTACTTCAGAACTTCAGAAACCAGGCTGTTCCTTTCAGGCCGTGTGGGTAAAGTTTGGGTTTGGGTTTTTGTTTTGCTTGGCAAATAAATTAACCAAGAAATGCTTTTTGATGGAGCAACAAAGACACTGAGAACGTGACAAATACTTTCACAGTATTGTAATAGTTTATTTTCTGCATCCCTGAAATGTTTAACGATGCTAGTCTGGAAGCACCAAAGATTTCAAAGCCTCTTTAATGAAACGTCACTCTTATTTTCTGGGAATGTTCAGCTGTTCCTTGGTTTCTCCCCCAAATTTCAGCGAAAGCCTGAACCTCCTGGGGAGCACTTGGCTGAATACAAACCCATATCCTTGCATTCTCAGCCAGACAAAGCCCTGCTCTTGCTTCGAGGCATTTCTTACACTGGGCATTCACATTAAAATATATTTATGGCTTGGCACATCAGGGAGGCGTGAGGCATCTGAGGCACAGCAGCTCCACAACCCGCCTCCCGTCAGCCTCCAGCGCTGGTTCCTGGCTCTGGTTTAGTCTTAGTGTGTGTGGTATTCCCAGCTCTGGCTATTGCTGTGGCTAGTGGAAGGAAGAAGCGTTTTGGTGCCGCGATGCTGGGAGGGAAACCTGCCACTGCGCAGACACGAAATGCGAGTGACTAAGGCTTTCAGCAGGAGCAATCGTCCTCCGAAGCCTTTTCCCTTCTGCCAAGTCCTGATGAGCTGTGAGTGTGAGTTTTGCAAGTTGGCCAGAGAAAAAAGAAAGTGATAAAGCATGAGAAAACACTTGAGCAAAATACTTCCTACCCATTGCTGAGTGGTTACTGAGGGTACTTAGAAAGAAATACAGGCTTAAAAGCAAAGGATCCTCCTTTGGGCTCGGTGTAAAGGAGGAAGAGGAGCAGAGGCCGTGTCCGAGGAGGTAACTTGCTCTTATTTCTCACCCCCTGCACCCCACACTGGAGGTCCCGGTGCTCGTGCAGGCACCCCCAGGTCACCGGCCTACAGCTTCAATGGCTGTTACGTTAATTTTCAGCATGACTTGCCCAGTTTCTTTAAGCTTTGGGGAACAGCAAACCCCTCCAGAGGCTGCTCTCCCCTTTGTGCGGTTGTTTTGCTGCTTACAGATGTGTTTTAGCTTCCCGGCCGTGTGCTGCTTTCCCTGAGCCCAGCTGTTGAACTGCTGCTCGCCCAGGGCTCTCAGCCAGTGGCGTGTGGCTCCGTCCACGCTTCACCATCAGCCACCTGCTTCGGGAAGCTGCCGCCGGCCCCCTCACATCTGCGAGGCTCCATTTAGTCACACAGGGCTGGAGGCCAAAGCTGGAGATGTTTCCTGCCGGGGTTAATGACTCTTCCAGTCGCCTCGATGGAGGCTGTGCGTGCGCCAGGGCTGCGTCACCGGCCCTCCGCGCGCCGGTGGGAGACAGGATGGATGTGCCGAGGGGGAGGCATGGCACCTTCCGGGCACCGGTGGCCAGCAGATGTGAGTCACCCCTCTGGGCAAGGCAGGGAGGGGTGTGCAGGGGCAGCTAGTGCTTGCCTCTGCCTTGCCACATCCTCCCAGCTTCCCAGGTACGTGGGATTATCGCAACCCCGGCCTAAATAACAGCAGCTGGCAGGGAGGCTGGGGCCGAGCTACGGACTGCAGCCCTTTATGGGGCAGTCAGGGGCTTTAGTGCTGCTCTGCCCTCCGGGTGTGTCTGCTGCAGGTGAGCTTTTCCCATGTCTTTAAACCTTGACCGTGGTGGCTCCTGTGCTGCTTCATCATCTGGCAGCATCCCAGCGGAGGGCTCCCGTTGCTAGTTACAACCACGCAGCCTCCCCTGCCGGCTTCCTGGGGCTGTTCGAGCGTTGATGCTGTGACAGCTCCGTACAAACCCAAAAAACCGATCATCTGGAAGTTAAAATTTCCCAATCTACGCGCGGATTTGGTGCCTTGAGAATCAAGTGATGGGAAACCTTAGATGTAGTGAAGCACCGAGACAACCCCGGGGTGTCACTAGGGCAGCAAGTGGGTTGCTGCAAGTTTGCTATAACCAGCTACAAAACTGGTTTGACCTTTCTAGTATCTGTTCAAAAGAGGTCAGTGCCTTGAACACAAATTATTTTGCCTCTTCGAGAGGTGAAGGCTAAATGTCAGGTCTGATGAATGGGCGACCTTTCATGGGGGTGGAGGGAAACTCCTGTGCGTGCTCCGCCCCGCGCACTGATGTCACCTCCATTTTGGGGCTGAGTAACATTTTCCAAGGAGTCAGAGACAGTCAGTCAAAGCAGCACAGTCATCCATGTGGGAATTGCATCTGGCACAGATTTGTTACTCTCTAATGAACATCAGTGACCAAATCACCTCTTCCTTTTTTTAACTGAGAGCTGGAGGCAGCAGGAGGCATGATGAGGGTTGGGGGAGACCATGCCTAGGTTGACTGGCTGCCATCAGCACGTCTTCCCCCATCCTGCCTCGTGATGCTGGAGGTGTCATTGTCCCCATGTGCAGTCCTGGGAGGGTGTGGTAGAGCAGGGAGCAACACAGAGCACTGGAGGAGTAGTAAATGGTAAATCAGGATGCCTGTATGGCAGGGAGAAGGTTTGCTGAGGTCTCCATGGGGATCTTCACCAAAAAGCAGCCCTGCTGCTTGCTGGAGAGAGTTGCCCTGCATGACCAAAGGAGCAGCTTCCAGTCTGGGTGCTCGGCGGGTGTTTTGCCATGGCCTGGTACACGGTGGCTGTCGGCACTCCTGGAATCCAGCCCTTCAGGAAGCCAAGCCAGCTCAGGGCTCTCTGCGCCCTACTTCCCTCTGCGGACCTCAAAACCTGGTGGGATGGATGCTCAGTTGGGTGCTCGGGAGCTGCCCTGAGCAGGTTTCTGCCCAGCACAGCTGCGTCTCAGGCTTATCCCCGATCCAGAAGCTCCACTGTGTGTTGTTTCCCTTGGGGACAGATCCCCAAGTTCTGCTCTCAGCCATTCACCCCTGACATCACCCTCGGCTGTAGCTGCAGCACAGCACTTGGGGAGAATGGCAACGGAGCTGGGGCAGGGTCTGGAGCACAGGTCTGCTGGGGAGCGGCTGGGGGAACTGGGGGGGTTCAGTCTGGAGAAGAGGAGGCTGAGGGGAGACCTCCTGGCCCTCGGCAACTCCCTGCCAGGAGGGGGCAGAGAGGGGGGATGAGTCTCTGGAGCCAAGGAGCCAGCGCCAGGCCCCGAGGGAATGGCCTCAAGCTGCCCAGGGCAGGGTCAGGCTGGCTCTGAGGAAGGATTTCTGTGCAGAAGGGGCTGTTGGGTGTTGGAATGGGCTGCCCAGGGCAGGGGGGGAGTCCCATCCCTGGGGGAGGTTGAAGAGTCGGGCTGAGCCAGCACTGAGGGATCTGGGGGAGGGTCATGGTTGGGCTGGAGGAGCTTCAAGGGCTTTTCCAACCCGGATGATTCTGTAATAAATTCTCCAGGTGGAGATACATTCTGTGAGTGGGCTGGCTGAGGGACACAATTTGCAGCCACAGCTCTCCTTGCTTTGGCCCTATGTTGTGGGATCTGCATCCTTTAGGGCTGTGAGTTTGTGCTAAACAGTGGGGTGACCTACGGGGACGAGCCAACCCATCGCCCCGTTGCTGATAGAAGTTACCCAGGCCTCAAGGAGAAGCTCAAGAGAGGCAAACCACCTTAATAAAACCCTTTTCCTAGCTCTGTCCCAACACCCTTAGCCTAGTGTCAGCATGGTGCTTCCCACCCATGAGCAGAGCTGCTGAAAGAACAAAATGACACGAGGAGGGAGGAAAAACTCAGCGCTGCAGTGATCCCATTGACTTTGAGCCTGCGTGCTCTGGTGAACGAGGACCCGTGTTTATAGCAGCCATTCAGCTCCGCTTTGTGCCATCCCACGCAAGCTGGCGGGTCTCACGCTGCTGCACGCTTGACAGGCTGAATTGTGAAATTTAAATTTATAGGAAAATATTACTGAGGGTAAAGGAACGAGCTGAGCACCTCTCGTTGTCTCCTTTCCTTCCTGTGCCCTTGCTCTCACCGAGGGTGGCTGCTGTGTTGCGTTCCTCCGGCTCCCTTAGCGACCTGCCAGCACGCCGAGGGTGGCCGGGGCGTTGCGATATCTCCTCCCGGATCCGCGGTGAGGAGGTGGTGTGGGAACCAGACAAGTGGTACCCGAGCTGGCAGGTTATTTCCAGATCACCCCACCCCGGGCACCTGGTGCTCGTGTCTTGCCAAGGGGCTGGAGTGAGCCGTGACCGGGCCGGGCAGTCAGACGCTCTCCTTTGACTCATCGACGTTAAGTTTTGATCTGTCTCAGAGCGTGTTCTGGTTTTTTAATTGCAGGTTGTTCCATGTCCGAGCTCCAGAGCTCCTGGGAAATGCACCAGCAGAGCATGGCCTATCTTCCAGATGCAGGTAAACGATAACCCCTCCCTGCGCAGAAGACGTTCTCCTTGGGGTTGTGTCTGTCTTTTCTTGGGAGCTTTCTTCAAGCAGCGTAATGGGTAGGACTCCAGTCTAAAGGTGTTTGGATTCTTGGCCTCGTTAAGTTTCACTTGCAGTACAGATGAAACCAAGATCAGGGAAAACTCCAAGCTCCTGGAGCTGCTCTGGGGGCTCTGCACCTCCAGGTGCTGCGGGGACATCACTTGCTGGCCGTAGAGCCTTTGGGCTCTGCAGAGCTGCTCTCCTCTGGCAGGGGATCAAGAGGAGGCCATGCTTTACTGGGAGCAAGCACTAGCAGATTGGTAAACTTACAGTGAGACTTAAATTGTAGGGTTTGTCCTCTTGCTTTTTTCTGAACTCGCTTTTGCTCCAGACTCACCATCTGGAGTTACTGCGTGACTGATAATGAGTATTTTACACAGAATCCCAGCACCAGCTAAAAGCTTTTTGAAAGCAGACTAGGCAGCAGCTACCTGCAGTGCCTCTTGAGAAAACCTTTAGCCATGCTTAAAACAGCAAAAAGCTCTTGAATCAACTTAAAATTTCTCCTCCTGAGATGCACGGAAGGGGTAACTGTCCTGGGTGTGGGGAGACTGAGGCACAGGAGCCGCTGCGAACTTGCAGGATAAGCTGAGCTTATCACAGCCTGTCCTACTGGATGGTGCCATCTGGAACGCGGGGTCTTTGGCACCATGAAAATGTCAAACTTTGGTTTTCCCAGTGCTGTTAGATACTCAAACTTTCTTACAGCACACAGGCTTCTACCAGTGGATATTGGAAGCCAGGGAAATTCTATTAAAAGCTCCACTTTAACCTTCATTTCAGCAACCTGCATTAGGGGCACTATGTCCTCCCTCCCTTGTTTATGTCCCTGTTGAGGATTTACTTTAAACAACGTTCATTCGACTCGCGTTTGGGATTTTTCTCGCTTACGGGAGCTGGCGTGAGTGTGCCGGTGCCGCTTCCTGTCTGTGCACAAGGGAAATTCTGCAGCAGCGTCGGGGCGGCGCGACCTCTTTCCCTGTGGTTTTGCAGCATCGATCTGGGGTGAATTTTGGTCCCTTCAAGGCTTTCGGAAAAATAACGTGAAGGAGTGAGGGGAGGGGAAAAAAAAAGTGAATCGGGTTTGGGGTGGGCTTATAGGGCTTCTCCCACTGAAGCACAACAAAGTACTGTGGGTGCGTTTTGTGTTGTGTTGAAGGCTGGGGGTATGGGAGCAGGGATCAGTGCTGGTTTTACTGGGCAGACCAGCAAAATTGTACACACACTCAAAACTAGCTAGAACCTGCTTTTTGGTGGTGTTGGTGCGCAGAGCCAAGGGGAACACAGAAGTTTCTCTTGCCAAATCATCTTGAAGCCAAGGAAAAATCCTTTATTTGCATTTAATTTGCTTTTTGTGAAGCTGTGACAGCTTTACAGACTAAATACCTGCTGCCTCTCTCTGCTCTCCCAGACACAGAGATGATGGCTGCTGGCACATCGCTTCCCGACCCGGCTGGCGACTTCGACAGGAACGTGCCCCGTATCTGTGGGGTCTGTGGGGACAGAGCCACTGGCTTTCACTTCAACGCCATGACCTGCGAAGGCTGCAAGGGCTTCTTCAGGTGAGTGAGGGTCTTCGGGGAGGAGGAACCTTCCTCCAGAACCAGGAGCTGGCGATCTGATGTCCCAGTTACCTGCATCCCTACAAAGCTGGGCTGCAGCCAGCCCTCTGCCCGCATTGCAGACGGCTGACGTGCCTGTAAATCTTGATAACAGAGAGATCACAAACTCTTTCCCTTCCTGTGGCTTGCTGTGGCACCCTGCTACGGGGAAATAGGTTGTTTTCCCCATGGCCAGAGATTTCCATCTGTCTGGGAGCCTTGCAGACCTCCACGTGCTCTGTAGACATGAGTGTAAGAGCCTCTCGCATGCTATGGATGGCACCTGGGAAAATACACTTCAAACTATCGGTCTCTGAAAATTAAACTGGTATGATGGCCACAGACTTCTTTCTTTTGAAGCAAGCTGCCTCTAATATCTGCTGGGAAGCTCCGTGCACTCATGTGTGGTCCTCTGCCCACCTGCTGGAGCGGGTGCCAAGCTCCTTCCAAAATCAGGCAGCCTTTCAGCCACAACACTGGCTCTTGAGGGGTTTAAAGGAGCTGTAGGCTGTGAACTCAGCTCTTTTGAGGCTTTTTTTTTTTTTTGACTGTCAGGTCAGGGGTTTGAGTGGTCTCAAGGCTGGTCAGTAAAGCCAAAGCATCTTTGAAAGCTGCCAGGGTCCCCGAGTCTGGAGCGTCGCTGGTTCGTGGCTGTTCGTTAGCGGCTGGGTTTTACCCCGGTGTCTGTCGAGGTGATGCTCCCGTACAGGCGGTGCTGAGCCCTTCACGTGGGAGTTCAGCTCGGTGAGAGGATGACTAAGCGCTGGTGAAATGAAGCAAGGTGATGACTGGCGTGGGACTGGCTGGGAAAAGCCTTGCTCAAGTTATTTTGCACTGTAATGAGATGGTGGCACGGGTGGCTGTGGGATTGCAAACACCAGAGCTTTATACCTTGAGCTGGGCTCTTACAGCAACCAGACCTTGAACTTTCACACCGATGTCAGAACTCCTCCTCTTGCAGGAATTTCGGGGCTAGATGGGGCTTTTCACATACCATGGTCTTGCAGGCTGTTTTCAAACGGGGCAGCTTTGAAGCCCGGCCAACCTGAGCAACAACATTTTCCTCAATTACTGCTGCTAAATTAGTAACTCTTCATTTGGGAGCTTTCCTCTGTGCTCTGGTTTGCTGTCCTTGACCTTCCTTGTCCCCGTTGTGGCTGCAGAGGCAGTGGTCTGCCTTTTGACCTCTGAAACAGCCAGTGCTGCCCGACCAACCCTTCCTGGGTGCGATGTGGCTCTCATGCTGATGTTGAGCCCTGCTGCTGCATCTCCCCATCTCCATTCTCACACCATTGTAATCATGCAAGATGTACAGCTGTGACAGTATTTCTGAACAGACATCTTAATGATGTGAAAAGCTCATCTTCAGCTAGCCCTTCATGCCCCATATAAAGCCTTTAGTTTCAATTTAGGGCTCTTACTACTTTTTTTAATCTTGCTTTCCAAGCACGCTCTCCCAGTGCTAGGTCTTGGTGAGTTCCCTCTTACTTACACAGGCTTGTTTACATGCTGTTTTCAATCACTGAATTAATTAATGTTTGCTGCTGCCACAGTAACCCAAGAACTTTCTGCAGTAAAATACAGCAGCACTTCTGTGAAGGAGTCCTGGAACAGCCACGGATCCCTTTGCGAGCACTTGGAGGTTTAGAACAGGCTGTGCTTGCGTGCACTTGCTGTTCTTCAACTTTCAGTTTGCACCCCCTGAGAAAGTCTTTGAATAAAAAATCACCATGCAGGTGCCAGTTTTGGGTGGCCGGACTTGCAGCGTGGCCTGGAAGAGGATGAGTGGCTGAGTACTGTGTGAGTTTTGCAGCAGCAAAACCTCGGGGGGTGTTTCCCAGCTGTTTCTGAGGTCACTCCCGCTGTAGACATGACTTAATCTCCTCTGCAGGCTGGACTGGGACGGGTTCTTCTGTAGGCAGGGCTCTGAGTGCTAGTGGAGGGATGCAGCAAAACACAGCCTGAGCCTCGGCCCGTGACAGCAGAACTGCTGGGGGACCTCCTGGCGGACCTCACCTGCCTTGGGGACGTACCTGTGTGACATGATTCCCCGGCGTGGAGTCCCCCAGAAGGTCCTGGGTTTAATGAGTCTATAATCAGCATTAGGAATTTATTGGCACCTCTGGGTGCTCAGACCTGCACGTAACCTGCAGCACAAACAGGCGTGAGGCAACCTTTGGCCGCTGGCTTCAAAGTCCACTGTTTACTAATGATGCCAACGGCAACAGTAGCCTTTTATTGAGCTCTGCTGTTTGCTCAGGAGCTAAGCTGCTGTGATTTATTCTGCTGTGACTTGGCTGAAGCATCCAAAATTTCTCTGGTTTCTGCTACAGTCCTAGTTTTCCCCCGGTGCAGTGACGCTGGGCGTTAATAGCAGGGCTGCTTGGAGAGGTTTTGGGTATTTCAAAA